AAAGGTTCTCAGATCTGGGCCAGGCCTCAGGCCATCACTTGTCAACTCTATAGGGCGTCATGAGAGCTCACCAAGGAGTCAAGAGCTCTGGTGTCACGATCTAGAAAGCAGAGTCTGTTGTTCTCAGCTGGGATGGGCAGTGGTACAAGGTACCCATCTTCTAAAATAAGGGACTTTCCAAGTCCACCCCCCACTGTGCTCTAGCCATACACTCTGGTGCACCAACCAACTCAACCCTGTGACCAGCTGTCCACATGGCAAAGAACATCTTAGCATTCACCTTACTCAAACATTGAGATGTCTAGGTATATATTGTTGATCTCAAGAAACATTTTTTTCCATCTCAGCAAAAGGGTATCATTTGGCACGACTGACATAAAATCAAAGACCGTAGGTCAATAAACTCAAGCTGTTCACAGGCTCTTATGTGTAAGCATCCATTTCCACCAGCATGTGAGCACCTATTCCTGTCTTTGGTCCCTTTGGGAGGTCTGTCTGTCTGTCTCAGGTGTACTAATGATGCCTGCCACAAGGTGGTGGGAAACTCCGTGAAACTGCAATCTGTTGGGCCAAGAAATCAAGCAATGTCTTGAGACCAGAGTTTTTTTCTCAGATTGCAGATAATCACACAGGGTCCTACTCATGCCTTTTTCAACAGTCTCTATGTGGGATGGAATGAAGAAAAGGCTAGTCTTCCCCCGGACACAGAAAAGTGATGCAAGCTCTGTCACATCATCAATCGTATAGAGAAGTCTGGCCTGGACCGATGGAGGGGTAAGCTCTGAGGTCAGTGCTGCTGAATCAACAAGCTGTTACAAAGGGGTACATCACCATGGGAAATTTTCAGGGCCTATCGGGATATTTTACTTATATGCAGTTTCCAAATGTCAGACAAGTTCAGTATTGTCTGGCAACTCAGCGCATAAATAACAGGAAATAAATTTTAATAATCGAGGCTTCACTTTTAAGTTTTGCTGAGGAAACAATCTTAGATATAGGAAAAACTGGACAGTAAACTGGGCACAAGCAGACACTGATTTCTGACCAAAGCTGCTCCAGTGGTGCCAAGCAGGATCTGGACTGGGAGATCTAGCACTCCAGCTGCGCACTGCTCCATTTCCAGCCCCTGCACGAGGCTAGTTGACGCGACAAGCCCGGATCATGAGCAGCTGCAGGAGAATGAAGACCGGAGACGTGATCAGGCCGAACCAGAGCTCTCGAGTCTGCTCCACTAGCTTCTGGCACAGCAGCATCTCAAAGACAAACTTGAGGCTGAGGACTGTGAGAACCCAGAAGAGGCGCAGTACAGCCAGTCGTTTCTCCCCATCTTGGAAGAGGCGCACCGACACGATGGTGGTGAAGTAGGTGCTGAGTCCGTCGGCGGCGAAAAAGGGCACAAATACGTTCCACCAGGAGAGGCCCGGGGCCAAGCCGTCCACTCGTAGTGCCAAAAGCACGGAAAACACCAACAGGGCCAGCAGATGCACGAAGATCTCAAAGGTGGCGAAGCCCAGCCACTGCACCAGCTCCCGCAGTGAGAATAACATCGCGCCTGTTTAATGCCGGCCGACGGCGCCCCGCACCGGGCCGTGCCCACTTCGTCCGCGGGCCTGGCTACCGCCTGCCGCCGCCGCTGCACATGCGAGGCAACAAGCGGCCCAGCCCTCTCTGGACCCCGGCCCCGGCGCTCGGCCGCTCTCCAGACCCGGAGCCTGAACCCGGAACGGGATGCTCGGGGACGCCCGCGGTCTAGACGCTATCCCCGCCCACCCACGTCCCACCCACCTCGCGCTGGCGCAGCCTAAATGCGTCATTTCCTGTTGATAGCGGAAAGGGGAAGTCAGTGGAGTGTACGGTTCTGGCCGGCGTGTGCAGTAATGCAGGTTCCGCAGCTACTTGTGCTTTTCGGCAGCCAGACTGGCACAGCCCAGGATGAGGCGGAGAGGCTGGGCCGCGAAGCCCGGCGCCGGCGGCTAGGTTGCCGCGTGCAGGCCCTGGACTCTTATGCGGTGGTGAGGCTCGGGTGTGACGGCGGAGAACCTCCCCCGGACCTCGCGTCCTCCAACGGAGGACGTTAGAGTGCGGCCCTTCGGCCCCAGGCGGCTTTAGGGGAAAGGGAGGCTTGGCACGAGGCTGAGGCCTGTGAGAGAGAAGGCCCGGAGCCACTGGGAATAATTCTCCAAACACTCTACTGTTGTCGTAGATGAATGAAGGGGGTGGGGAGCGGTGCAGGGAGGGGACTGATCTGGGCTGTCAGAGTCCTTACACATACCCGTGTCTTGTCCTTGAGGCGAATCTCATTAGAGAGCCCCTGGTGATATTTGTTTGTGCGACCACGGGCCAAGGAGACCCTCCTGACAACATGAAGGTAAGGCTGGCCTGATGTGTACCCTCACCCCGTTTTCATTGCTGTGAGAGTCCCAAAATGCACAGAAAATAGCTGCCCTTCAGTGCATGTTGTATATGAGAGGAGACTTTGAGAAGTATTCTTTGAATGGATCTGGGGAGAGAAATAGCTCTTAAGAGCTACTCAGTAGCCTTGATCTCTACTTTTTTATTGTTTTCCCAGACCTACATAGGAATCTGGTCTGAGTCATGTATTGAACTTCAAGGTTTGTAACATTCAGAAAACATTCATTCTTCTTCTTCTTTTTTTTTTCAAGCACATATATATTCCTGGCATCATCTGAGGCACAGAAGACACATTTCTCCTTCATGGAGCTCAGTGGTTAAAAACAGCAGGTTTAATGGCCAATTACCAGGAAAATACCAGATGTCAGATGTTCTGGGAGTGAGGGGGTCATGGAATTGGACACAACTTTTTGGAAGAAAGGAGCACACCTTTAATCCTAGCACTTGGGAGGCAGAGGCAGACGGAGCTCTGTGAGTTCCAGGCCAGCCTGGTCT